GGACCCCCCCCCCCCCCCCCCCCGAAATCAGCTTCTGGTTGTCGGTGTGGGGTTTGTAAAGGGCCGTTTGCCTTTGCCCCTGCCCCCGGTAACGGTTCGTGTGAAATGGATGTTCGGCTCGTTCCCAAAATGTCTATGCACCGGGGCTTAAAAAAAAAAAAAAAGGAAAGAAAAATTTATTTATTTATTTATTTATTTATTTATCTATTTATTTATTTATTTATTGGAGCTGTCCGAAATCCCTGACATTTTGGGAGGTGACGGGGAGGGGGGGGACTGAGTCTCCGCGGAAGGTGCCCAGGGACAGGAGGGATGGACCAGGCGCAGCTAAAGGGCAGACGGCCTGAGAGGACGGGGAGAGGGTTTCGGGAGGGGGCACGATCCGTTATGGATGGCTCCTGCGGTCCTGCTGCATTGCAAATTGCTGCACACTCCTGGCTTTGAAGGGGGGGGGGGAAGCGAGGAGGTCGGGGCTACGGCAAAGCACAAGCGACCTAGTTCAAGCGAAATCCCGCTGTCGTTTAACCGGGCAAGACCCTCGTCTGTCCTTTTTTGCTTCTTTTTTTTTTTTTTTTTCGGAGGGGGGGGTGTTTAGGGCGGCTTTGGACCGGGGGTGCCCTGTGCGGAGGGACCGGCGCGGGCCAGGCCGCCCCTCGGAGGGGCTGGATGCTCTGAGCCCCACCGGTCCCAAACCTGACCCTCTCCCCCAGCCCGGCCCGGGGCAGGGCTCCGCTTCGGACCCCGTATTTTCATCTCCGCCCGTCACGTTTTTGGAGAAATTCGTGGCAACTTCCCCTCCCCTTTCCCCCTGTAGCTGCCGGAGCGGGATGGCGCGGGGCTGATAGGACACGGTCGCACCCCCGGGATGGTCCTCCGTTCTTCTCTATTTGTTTCCCTGGTTTTTTTTTCCTAACGTAGCCAACGTCTGTAGCCTGCTGGGGGTTTGATGTGACGGCTGGTGCTGGAGGGGGGGTGGGGGTGTGTGTGTGTGTGTGTAGAGGGGAGTGGCCACCAAGTCGTGTTAGCGATGAATCAAACGGCAAGAGGGGGATCTGGGTTGAAACAGTCTCTTTTGGAGTCAGCCATTTAGCTTGTAACCGGTGCCCGGCAAACAAACACACAGGACACTGCCTCGGGAGGGGACCCCCATCCCACCCCACCCCGGCGCTGTGTGCGGCCGGGGGCTCCTCCGAACTGGGGGGGGGGGGAAGGCTCCAAAAGGGACCTGCGCTGCCCGGGGTCGAGCCCGGGCCTAGGGGACACGGCGGCGTCCCTAACCCTCCGCCAGTGCCAGGAGAGCGGTTTAGGGATCAGCATACACCCCCCCCCCCCCCGC